GTTTTGTTCATTATATAAAAATTCCTCTTTGTCAAGTACTGCCTTTATCACATTAAAGTTAATGATCTCTTTGGTTAATGCTGCAATAGTATGGTTAAAAAAAATCATTAAAGCAAAGGCAAAACAATTTTTATAACTCTCTCTAAATGTCATGATCACCAATGTCATCGAGTTTTAAACTCAGGTGTTAACCCTGCTCTACACTATCCAAAACATGTTTTTGACTTTAACTATAATTTAAAAATGTGCTGAGTGCTTACATTAACACAGTTAATTATGATGATGAAATACAGCACCAAGAAATCTGTCTTTGTAGATACCGCCATTTATGATTATAAGTTGGAGCTGAGTTTTAAGCCAGTGATATGAAGTTAAAACTAAATACATGTGCAAATGTATTAAGCTGCAAATAAAGGAGCTAGGTCCATTAGATGAAAAATTTAGGGCTATATCTCTATGTGTTGGCCCTTTGTTTTTGTGTTCCCATAAACATTAACATGAGTAATGCATTTTATTAAATTCATCCTGCTTGTGACCACATGTTAAGGTCATTAGACCCTTACTTTTGGGTAGATGTTGACAGGTTAAATCACCCACTGGCCACTGATGTGTCTGAGAAATGACTTGCACTTGAATTTCCAGATTCAGAACAACTATGTGGGGCTCTTACTCTCCCTGTAGGGTTTTTCACTTGTTTTAATGCTGCAGCAGGTGGAATGAGGGTTCATTGTGTTAGGAGTTAGGTACAGAAGATTCATCTCTAGCAGGGTTATTTCTGCCAAAAAGCAGGTAAATACTTTTGTCTGGAGGTGCACTCTGAATGACCTATGGGACAAGACTCTCAAATTGCCTCCTGGCTGATTCCTGGTGCTATGAATACCAAAGAAACTAAGAATGGATAGAGAATCTACATTTCTTTGTTGTTTATGTGTGTCCAGGATTTGGAGTGGCAGAGGCAGTTTTTTAGTCTCATACCTGAAGTATCTGTTTTCTGTAGACTTTAAACTACTTACAAGCCCAAGCAATTGAAACTGAGCATATGATAACAAATGCAAAAGCAGAAGTAACTGTCAATGAAAGCTACATGTCAAAACGATCAGTAGATCCACAGAAGTTGTAATTATATGCCATACTAGTTTTTTTTTCTGGAAAGTTTGAACCTACCTTTTTCTTGTTCCCAAGCCTCCCTATAGTTCACTTACTGTGATGGTTGGGGTTACTGATCAATATGTGAGCATTGAGGTGGTGGTGGGGGAAGAAGGTGAATTTTAGCAGCAAAACTGAAGCCTTGAATATGTACAGCTGCCTTTATCTGTAGATCTACAGGTTGTCTGTTATGCCGTATTCACCAAAAGTTACCTTTACATATTTATATATTTTTTTTATATCAAATACTTATTTTGAATCGGCTTGGTTACCAAAAGGGGTACCTTAAAGTGAAACAGTCAGACTTCCTAATTATTTAAACCAAAAAATCTTGCCTTAGAGCAAGCGCCATGTGTAGGCTTAGGCCCACCTAGCATCCCACAATCCAATGAGAGCTTCTCAGTTTCCAATAAAGATGCTGTTATTGAGTAGCGGCCTGTAATAGTGTGAGGGGTTTATTTTCAGGGGTATCTTTTGTCTAATTTGTCAGAGAAGTCATGCCTCTAATGACAGAGTCGACTTGGAATTTTCCAGGGTCACAAAAGAAGGTTTTCAGCTTAAAGAAGGCAATAGAAGACACCAGTTATGAGAAAGGACTTTAATTTTTTCTTAAAGCTCAATTCCAAGAAAATGTAAAAATACACTGCAAAGGTTAAAATGCTTGTTATGTCTAGGTGACAGTTAAACAGCCTCTATCACTTACCTTGCACCTCTTTAGGGCCAGCCCTTGCACTCTCCTTTCCCTGCCTAAAGCTCCATTGTGTGGGTGGAGCTTCCACATCATCATGTGCAATACAGGGACATTAACCCTGTTTTGTACACTGAGGAGGCTGGAGTGCAACCAGAGCTGGTTGCAGCTTACAGAGAAGGCTGCAGGAAACATTTTTAGTGCTGGATGGACCATGCTGGAGCAAGGAGTACAGTAAGTATTTACTCTTTAATCCTTTACCCCTAGACTAAACAAGCATTTAACCCTTTGGGGGGACCCACTGCAAGGGTGGCATACTTTAAAGTGCAAATCTCACCTCTTCTATAAGTTGACCTCCACAACTTTTTTTATACACTATGATACAGGATAGCAATTAAATAGGGGGCTATTTTAATGATTCTAATGGTTCCAGGTGGTTTTAACAGCTGACAATTGTTCCATCTTAAAAAATGGCTTGCTCAATGGTATGCAAATAGAAAGCACACTTTAAATGCACAATTAATGGTAAATACTGGGTACTGGTAAATTGTACAGGAGTACAGGAATACATATATTGGCCTGCCTGTTTAGCATAAAAAACAGACAAGCCTTAGCCACAACGTATACACATGTCAATCTGTCAAGCTACAAAACTGAGAAAATTCAGATGACCGTAGAACAGCTGAGCCTTATTTTTTCTGCTGGTTAAAAAAAAAGGAGGAAAAATGGAAAAAAAGATACAACAATATTTCAACAGAGGAAACAGAACCAAATCATAAAGCTTGATTCCAATCAATGGTAACATAAAATGCCATTCTTGTGTTACCTTTAGTGCTTATGTTCATATAATATCACTTATGTTCTCTCCATAAAAAAGAAAAAATCTAACTAAATTAGCACCCTGGGGCATTTTAAAGATATAGATTTTTACACATGGTGTACTAATATATATTTGTTCAATTTTTATAAAAGGCTATCTGATTTCCCATAAAATGTAGAAAAGCAATAAAAAAGAAAGCATTGGACTAAACAATTCCAAAGTAAATGCTTGCTTAAAAATATATATGTATATATATATTTATATATATATATAATGTATAAAAAAGGCCTGTACATTGGTTTTGGTTGACTGGGTTAAATTAATAAAAGTACAGTGCATGCTCAGACCTGACCTGGGGTTTGAAAGTTTCTATAACAGTTTACATAAAAAATAGGTTTTGCTATTGTTCTTTTTTTTTTTTTTTTGGTAAAATATTTTTAACAACTGTATGCATGTAGTATTACAGGCAGCATTATTATATTTATTTGGTACCAAAGAACAATGCAAATCAGTGCTTTTTCTATTAGATGGGGAAGTCTGCATTTGATTCTATTACAATTACATTGAGTCCAGAGACACAATAACACAAAAATAATGTAATAATGCTGACTGCATATGTTTGTTACATTGCCTGTGATACTTATCGATTTATGATGCGGAGGAGTTTGTATATGGCATGATGTGCACTCAGTTAATTTCATGAAGCAAGGAAAGCATCTGATCTTTTCCTTCCTAGACAATGGTAAATGGTTCCCTTTAATGAAAGTGTCTGAAATGAATAACATAGCAGCCTATAAACATTTTATAGTCATTTTTACAGAAGAGGGTGAAATATGAAATGAAGAAGCTCACTGGTTGTTTTTGGACAAGGTTGATTATTTCAGATATTTTGGAAAATGAAACGCAAGCTGCCCCCATCACTGCCTATATATTGTATGAATTAATCCAACTTCTAGCCGAGGATGGAGAAAGACAAGTATGGGTGGGGTGGTTTGCGTGGCAGCAGTAGATGAGTGGAAGATGTATATCTATACTTTAGGGGGCAGTTAAAAACAATCACTTTGAGCCTACTTAAAATAATGAGAATTAAAAAAGTTCTGTGACTAATGGGTTTCTTCATCAATATTTCATCTTGCTTCAAGGTAAGCCTACTCTTAAATAGCTACAGTGTATTTTTTTTTTACAATTTTCTGAGATAGCCATATGCTAGTTAGTAAGGTAGCGTGAACGTATAACAACTGCAGCATGGAGATGGTTGTTAAAAGACAAGATGCTACAGCTTTAAGAGTCAATTTAACTGGAAGCATGAAAAGTCAGATCAGAGGTCCAAAACACTAAATGGCAAAGAAGTGTGTTGTGCCAGCCTTGAAACACAACATTCAGGAAAATAAGTTAATAATAATGTTTAGTGCATTAATGAAACTGTATAAATTAAGTAATGTTTGCTTAAATTCACACTTATATAAATCATATATTGCATAAGGTGTTCACCTTTGGATACTGAGCACCTAAAAAACGTTGTTGCCAACAAGATATGTAAGGACCACTGAGTTTGATGGAGAAACCCTTTAAATAGGCACTTGGAAGTTAACTGATTTAGGTACAGTTTGTTGAGATTAGATTCCACATAGTAGTTATAGTATAATGATTAACAGAATATGTTTTTTCATTTTTTTTTTTATAATACACAAGTTTCACAATCAACTGTCAAGGGATGGCATCTGATTAAAAACTATGGCATTGGAGCTTACTTTGTACTCATACATTTATAACTGTTCTTGGAACAGTTGTAACATAACTCGTGTATTATAAAACTGCTTTGTCGGTTTTGAATGGCAAAAAGAAATATGCTGGAAATGTAACAGGTAGTAACGTAACAATTTTGTCAATTCTACATTTAATGTCCAGGGCACCTAAATCTGGTCTTTGAGCAGAAATGGCTGTCACCCTATGTTCATACAGGATAAAAAAACAAAAAAAAAAAAACAAAAAAAGAAAAAACAAACAAGATTCAGGCCACTTTGAAGGCTGATGAAAACAGAGACCAAATTTGAAATGTTACTATATACACAAATGCTTCAGTTCTCAAAATAACACAATGTACCAGAATACTGAGAAAGCGTCACACGTTTCCCGAAACTGCTAGCATAGTAATTGCATAAATCCCTTTTCTTATAAGAAAAAAAAAAAGACACATTTTGAATGAATACTATAAAAAAAGAAAGGCAAGGTCTTTCAATGACTGAAGAGACTTCCAGGATTGAAATAAAGTTGAGAAAATGTTTGTAAAAATGGAAGATCTGATTTAATACCAAACTCCCGTAGGCAGTTTTTGAACCCAGTGTTTCAGAGAATTGGGTTTAGGTCTGTTCTGTGGTTGGCAAGAGGGTTGAGAGAGGAACTCCCAACCACATCACTGATGGAAGAGGATGTTGTGATGGTGTTATGCTGAATGACTTGCTGCTGGGAGCAGGCTGGAACCGGACTCTCAGGCGGGCTGTTTTCAGGACCTGAGGATGACATTGACACAATATTTTGTAACACATCAGCTTAAAATATCTAATACAACAATGATGTACTGTCTTTACACACAGTGAAGCTCAATTGTTTTTTAGCTATCAAACATACTAAAATTATCTCAACTTCCTATTTTTGCCACTATGGAGAATCATGAAGACAGCATGCTTGACTTTTGACAGACTTCAGTTTTTTCCATTGGATCCTAAGGCATTCCTAAGCTACATGGGAAATAAACTCCCCGGAACATCTCTTGGGGTGGCCTTTGAGCTCATATGCATGTTCATATATCTGGAATATCTCTAATGAGTGATCTATTGGAGCTTGTCAATTAATCTTATCTTGCTATTAACCATCATTAACTGTCCCTTTTTCCAGCTCCATTTACAAATACCAGATCAAAATGCCAAACAGAAGGATGGCATGGCCAGGTTAGGACTACAGACTCCCAAAGGTGATATTAGCTCCCCATATGAAAGAATATATATGGTTTGATCCATTAATTGTATATCTATTCCTAACAATCTATGAGGTTGATTTACTAAAAGCAAATAAGCTACTAACTTTGCAAGGGAATTTTCACTTTGCAGATTAATTTTCCCTTCGCTATATGAATGTGGTGAAAATTCACTTTGCAAAGAATACCCAATCATGTGCACAGAAAATAAAATAAAAACAACTGTATTTTTGCTTGCACATGATTGATTTTCTAAAGTGATGTGCAGGCTATTGTTGCTATATAAATACTGTATAATACTTTTAATAATAATAATGATGGAGATCAGCATAGCTTAACCTCATACACTAAGAAACAAAAGTGCAAAGTGAACAGCCTATTTGACTTTGACAAAACAACCCCTCTGTGTTTTTACATAATATATTTACAAATGTATATAATAGCAGAAATGACCACCTGGGCGGTTTTAGACACTCTGGAAAAGAATTAACAGATTTCAATTTAGCAGCCTGAAGTCTTACCCTACATGGATATGTGTGGAGATGAAAATTATAAAAAAAATATACCCATTAATTTATTAATTGTTTGCTCTTTCACAAGGTAGCTTTATGACACAAGTAGGTTAACATAGCAGGTTTTCAAATAAAATAACTTTATTTGTTTTAATTTGGGTAAGTCATTTAATACTCAAAGAATCAATTGTAAGACAAGATTTTTTATGCAAGAATTCTCTTTTCTTTTTTGCTTCTGGAGACTTCTGGTGGGGCCTTCGCCTAAGCAACCTAGGAAAATGCCCTTTTAATAAAACATTCCTAATTGTTCAATGAGAATGCAGCAAATATAAGTATAGCTCTCTGACTGCTCTTATTTTGCAAAATACAGTGAATCCAAAAGACAGAAATGTGGGCTCTCTCTTTGCTGCTACTTCTGTTTATTCACTTAGCATTTCCTATGACGAAGGAAGGGTGGTCCCCTTTTATTGTAATGTCAATAGCAGCAATAGTAACATACTGCTTCAGAATTATTATTTTGAAAAAGGCAGTAATTGTGCTAATGACATGTGAAAACTGGAATAAAGACAACATTTAAAAGAATTAAAAATACAATACCTGTATAACTAAACACAAACTCTCTGACATAATAATCTGTTAAAAGGTTCTATAAAGGTGTATCTAAAGCAAAACATGATTTAGTTTTGTATAGAGTAGAGAAGTGTTATTAAACCTTTTTTGTGCCACCACTGAGGAGATACACCCTCTCTGATTGCCCTGATGACCACTGTCACTGAGAATGACAGTATGGGAAAGAAAATCACACATTTTTAAGCTGTTCTCTGTGGAACAGGGATAAAGGAGATTGTTTAGATTTTTTACTATTTATATGCGCATCCCCCTCCATTCCAAAAAAAAAAACCTCAAATATTTTTAGTTGTAATTTTCTTGTGATATATATCTAAAATGTTTTAAATGTTTCAGTTATCGTCACCATTAATTTGCAACTACATTTCTCTTTAGAGGTATCTGTCTTTATTATCTGATTTACAGAGTATTCCTAAAATTGCTAACTGATGTAAACAAAGACATCATGCTGGCTAGGTAAATTCATGGGGGATTAGGTTTGAGACCTCTAACAGCTGCATCAGCTTTTTGTTTTTGCTCTTTATGCTAGGAGGTGTTACATGCTACACACTGCTCTACACAACCTACAATAACACCCCTCACCTAATTATTATTTCCAGTATACACCTGCATTATTATTGAACACTGTCAGAGCAATTACATGTGTTTTATTTTCATAATTATATATTTTATTTCTGTATAATTTTATACAGTGACAAAGACCTTAGTCTTTGAATTATATGATTTTTGACAGAAGCTGATAAAACATTGTAGCACACAATACAAAACCAATATCTATCTATCTATCTATCTATCTATCTATCTATCTATCTATCTATCTATCTGTCTGTCTGTCTATCTGTCCACCCATTCTAAAGAGAGGAATATGTTGTAAAATAATTGAAAACATGACAAAAGGCATTTAAAACTTTATACGTAAAGTGTATCCAAGGATGCATTGCTTCATTCACAGGGACTTTGAGGTCCAGTGTGCATTTGGGGCCAGCACTCATTCCTGCATGCCTTTCAAGTTAAGACATGTGGTTGTGCCAATAGAGCTGCTGCCCCCTCATTCAGTAACATAGGCTGCCTGCACACAGCTTCAGGTGGCTCCAGCTGCATTAACTGCTGCAAATCCGCATAGAAACCAGCTTTCATGTTTTATTGCCAAAGCTTAATTGAACAAGCTGAAGTTGATTGGCTACCATGCACAGCTGCACCAGATTCTGAGTGTACCAGTATTAGTAAATCCACCCCAATGTGACCTTATGTGGCCTGTCTTATCTGTGGACTTAAATATTTTGGAGTGGATCCACAAGGGAGTTTAATTTGCCTCCTGGTTCATATGGCAATACAAATTTAACAGAGTTGCCATCCCCATGAAGCAAATGGAAGAGGTAATGTTGAAGGCAGAGTCTGGTATGATTGACCACCCAAAATTTCTGAATTAAAGCTATTACTCTGAAATGGACCAACCTTGAAATTAGCAACAGAATCCTCAGCATCCTACTGAGAATCAGGGGTGAATTTTTTGTTGAGTCAAAGGTGTAAACCCCTTTAACTTGAATATTTAGTGACAATTGTTATCGCCTTTGACTAACATAATAGAAGAGTGATACAAATGTTGTTCTAAATCTGTTATATTAGGTCTATCAGGATCAGTCTGTTTTGCTTTCAGTCTGCTATCACATTTGGTAGTTGATGTAGCTGTTAAGATTTGTATACCCACTACTTTTTAGATTTGTTACTCTTGCACTGCAATATTTGTACCAACATGGCTGTCTATGCCTCATGTTTTACATGTAGTAAAATGTTATATATTTGGAAGTGCTTCCCACACCCAGACATGCTGGGTAATTATATTCACTCCCAGCAGCTGAACACAGCAACAGGGGAGCAAAATGTAGGTGAGTATCTGCTGCTAGTGAGAGGGTGAGGGAAGGGCATTAACTGAATGTTGCTTTGCCCTGGTAAGGCAAAATACAAGTTCACTTTAAATGTACATAAGAAGGAAAGTTTGAATTAAACATCATGTAATTTCCTTTAAAGTTCAGTCTGTGGTATCTTACTACAAAACCAGGCCTTCCTACAATGGATAGTAAAACAAGAAGACCAATGACTCGAAAATGAATTGCTATATCTTTAAATGAAACTCAACTTACCATGAACTGGGCAGCTTTTGAGTAGCAGTACTCATCCTGCATAAAATGGAAAATTCATTTTAAATGCTTTAAGCAGCTCTCCTGCACTGTGATTTTGGCTTAAAATAATGCTTGCAAGAAGTCCAAAGATGACATCATACAACCCAGGTTTAGAAAAAAGAAAATGTAATTGACTTTGTGCTGTAAAGGTACTTTACTTTTGTATGTGTGAATGCTGAGAAACCACAGTGTATAAAGGAATAATAGTGCAAAATTGCAGCTTGTTATAAAGCTACTATGCCATCATGTAAAACACCATCTTTAGCCTTAAGATTGGAGACCTTTTTGGCTCTTTGACATGGAATAACAAAAATGGTCTGCTTAGGAGACCATGCTGGAATGTTTAGTTCCTTGAGCTTTCACGACCTGTGTATTATTTATGAAGAGCCAAGGGTTAGCTGCAAGTAGGAACAGCTAACATTTAAACATATTGCCAGCTTAAAAATGTATTCCACAACAGAAACATACCATAGATTTTAGTATAGGGTTTGCTAATATTCATAACCACTGTTAAAACAACCATTAAAGAGGTTGACTTGAAACTACAAACTTTTTTTTCTGCTCCCGGACACATGCGTACATCACTGTATTGGAACAAAAAAAACATTCACCCTGATAAGCAGAGTACATAGTATTCCATGGTTTGTCATGGACACAGGCACAATGGGGGCTATTTACTGGGGCAACTCTGCATAAAAAAACAATCAGCTTCCTTTAATGCCAAAGCTTAATTTAACAAGCTGAAGTTAGAAGCTGGTTGACTACAAAGCACAGCTGCAACAGATTCAGAGAGCACCAGTTTTAGTAAATCTCCTCCAATGTGTCAAAATTGTGTGTCTCAAGAGTGTTTTTGAATGGCATTTTTAATGTATCTGCATTTTGCATATGATGGGAATTTAGATAATTTCCAGGCTCCTATCGCTAATTAGAAATCTTTAAAGCAGGGGCGGACTGACAACTCATAGGGCCCCCGGGCAATAGGGAATCATGGGGCCCCTGTGTCCAAACTCAAAAAAGCCTATGAAAAAGGTACCAGGGGCATCTCATGGGGCTCCCTACTGACCCTGGGCCCTCGGGCAGTGGCCGAGTTTCCAAATGGTCAGTCCGCCCCTGCTTTAAAGTATATCTAAACCCTAAATGGGTGACATTTAGTCTTGTATCATAAACAAATGCTGCATCCTGTTTACATGCATTCATTCTAGAATCACCGACACATC